CCTTCCGGAGGTCTTCAACCGACCGTTCAGTTGGGTCTATCCGGGGGTCATCCATTCCTGGACGCCCGGACTGTAATTGCTATTTTTCCATAATCTCTTCCGGTGCTCGCCCCTTCTCCTGGCTGGACGCCCCGGCTCGAACGGCTGAATAAAAACAGTTCTTTGCGGACGCTTGGTCCCCCCGGATCTCCATGATACCCTCTGGCGTGGCGAATTTTAACTTCTGGTGAAAAGTGGAGTGCACCGCTCCCAACGCATGCAGCCATGTTCGTCCCATAATCACGTTGTAGGGAGAGTCTGTATCGATCACAACAAACTCGGTGTCGATGATAAAGGGACCAGTGGCAACTGGCAATGTGATTTTCCCCACGGGCAAGGCGAATGAACCGTTGAACCCGATGAGGGGTGTCCTGACTTTGGTGAGGTCTTTGGGGCCAAGACCCATCCGTTTCAAAGTTTCGAAGTACATCACCTCCGAGGAGCTTCCTGAGTCTATCAAAATCCTCTTGACATCGAATTTCCCTATCCTCAGGGTCAAGACAAGGGCGTCGTTATGAGGAATCACCACGCCTGTCAAATCCGCGTCGGAGAACGTGATGCCAAGCTCACCCATCCTGACCCTTTTACTTGATGGCCCCACATCACCCTCGGCTACCTTCCTTGTAAAAGCTACCCTCTTGAGGTCGAACTCGAGCTCCTTGGACGTGGGGCGCTCCAGGGGACATATATGAATGACGTCTATGATGTTGTCCGGTTCCTCGGTCGGGGCAAGGGCTCGTCTCTCTTTGGCCTAGGCTCTATGTATTCTTTCAAATGTCCGTCTCGGACCAAGCTTTCCAAGAACGATTTGAACACCCTACAGCTTTCGGTGCGATGCCCGAAATCCCGGTGATAGGAACACTTAACCTTTTGATCACGGGTGGAGGGGTCGCCCTGCATCCTGGGCGGCCATTTGAAGAACGGCTCGTGCTTGATTTTATGGAGCAACCTGAAGATGGGTTCCTTGAAAACAGTGTGAACTCCCCTGGACGAACCCCCTGGATGGGGTAGCAATCCCTTTCGGGGAATATCTTCGCGCTCCTTCTCCTTTCTCTTAGATTGGAGGGCTCGACCTTTGTTGCTTCCCATCTCGTCCTCAACCCTCGAGTACTTGTTGATCCGGGCCATCAGTTCCCCCATATCCGAGGGAGTCTTCTTGGTCAGGGATCGGTACAGGTCCGTGTCCCTCGCCAGGCCGAGCCGGAAAGATGCTGCTGCCATGACCTCCGAGCAGCCTTCTACCTCATTGACCTCTTCCTAGTATCGGATGGCGTACTGGCGAAGAGTCTCGGATTCCCTCCGTCTGAGGGTCAACAATGATCCAATGTCTTTGGGGCGCTTACTCCCCGTAATGAATCGAGCCAGGAACTGCCTAGTCAATTCCTTCCAGGACCCAATACTGTTTGGGTGAAGCGTCTCGAACCATTTCATCGCAGAGTCCCCCAAGCTCATAGGGAACACTCGGCATAGAAACCGTTGGTCCGAATGATAGAGGGACATCATCTGCTTGTATTGCCTGATATGGGCTTCGAGGTCGGACCGCCCGTCATAGGTTTTGAACCGCGGCACGACGAACTTTCTTGAGACCTCCATCTCACTGATTTCCCTCGTAAAGGGTGTTTGTATGACTTCGTCCTCGGCCTCATCCTGGACAGTCTTACCCTTTCTCCTGGAGTCTAATCGGGCTCTGAGATCAACTTCTTCCCTGACGGGATGCCTTCTGAAGTCCCTGAGTTCATTGGTAAGCCCCTCATTTCCTGGGCGTCGTGTGGATTGGGTTGAGTCCTCCTCGGATTCATCTCCCTTCCTCCGTCTAGACAAACCTCGCTGGAGGTCGTCCAGGGCCAATGGCCTTGCTTTCCTGGAATGGTTGTCATGATGATGTTCGTCGGCTCTGGGTCGCTTTGGGGCCCTAGAGCTTTCTGCTTTGTGGTCTAGGTGGTTTCTTAGATCCTTCGTTTCCGCCTCCTGGGCGGGAAGTCCACGAGAAAGGAATGAATCCCTCGACCCTCCGCTTGAGGCGGCAAACTCGTCGAGCCGGCTAAGGACGTTTACATTGTCCTACTCCAACTGACGTAATCTATCGCCAAATTTTTCTTCAATCACCTCCGCCAGCTGAAGAGCCAAGGGGGCTGATCCCCCTGACTTGATTCCCATACTGGTTTGAGGGGTAACCCCTCTTGACCGAGTAGAGGCAATTCTATTCATATTGGTGTGATCCCTCCCTCCGTGATGACAGGGAGCTTGTAACTCGAGACTCCTTTGGTGGGGTCCTTTCCCTTTCTGTCGAGTGTTCACCATGGTCACTGTTCTTTATAGAGAAAAAAACTAGGAAAACTAGTCGTTTCCCACAGACGGCGCCAGATTGTGCGTGCAAGATCCTGCACAATATAAAAAACGAGAACAGATCTTTCCCTTGGTGAACTTCGAGTGAGCCGGTTGAGTGACCAAACACACTGCTTGGGACAGCCTGCAAGGTACGGTGGTAACCTGGAACGGCAACGGGAGACCCTGGGAAAGGAAGAACGATCCTGTAAGGCTGAAAGAGGTTCCTGGAACAAAGAAGAACAAGTTAGAAGGGCGCCGGAGTGTTTTCCGGCGTATCCCCTCCGACGATCTAGTCAGTCTTTGAGAGAGAGAGAGGAAGGAGAAAACACTGAGTGTGTATTATAGTCAAGAGTTTGTTGTTGCATACCCGCTTTGCCTTTTGCAAGGAGTATTTATACCTTAAAAGCTCATGATTGCTGTCAGTGTGGTCAGTAGGTGATCATTAGGCACAGGTAACGTGCGCATTGATTCTGATGAGGAATGTCTTCTCTAATTAACTGCTCGGGGTCCCGAGCAATCAATGATGGGTCATCGGGATGCCGATGGTACAATGTGCTCCTCTCGAGGAGGATGCAATAAATGCTCTGTATTAGGAGCATTTATTGCCTTTCATTTCCGAACCTTACCGCATTGAATGCGGTCTCATCAAAGGAATGGTGCAATTAATTGTTTGCTTTCCCAAGTCGCGTGTCAGCAACGACATGCGGTTTGTCTGTCTTTGATGTGATATCATATGTCATGCGTCCATCCTCTATTGGTTGTGACCTCTGTATTCCAGTACGTTCTGACATTACTTGTGTAAGACAAGGTCATGATGACTAGCCTAGGCTAATGACCTGTACGTCAATAGCTTATCCTGGAGTAGAGGAGGCGTCCAGGATGGGGTACCTCTCGGCACCGAGGAAAGGCTCATCTCGGGGACCGAGGGAGGTATGCCGACCGAGGTACATATCAGACCGAGGCCACGTGTCGGTTGTAAAATATACTGAATGTATGATCCTATATGACGGTACCTCGGGGGCGAGGACATTCGTGCGCCGATGGTGCTTGATCTTAGCAACAGTGTTTTAGTAAAACCGAGGACACGTGTTTTCATCATAGGGTATTTCAGAAAAGTCCCATCAAAATCAAATCCAACCCAAAACAGAAAATTGAAAGTAGAAGTGAGGAACTGGATACGTAAAAGTAAATTCAAAATCCTAGTTCTTAACCTCTTTATGATTGTTGAAGAAAGATGATGAAAAGAAAAAAAAAAAAATATATATATATAAGGTAATAATAATATGAGATTCTTCATTTAAAAAAAAAATGGGTCTCAGTTCTATGTAGAACTAACAAAAACAACTACATTATGTCCTTTCCCTTTTTCTGTTTGTTTGTTTGTTTTATAGTCCGAGCTGTGGATGGCGGGAGTTGGATCCTGGCGCCCACTCCGGAGAAGACCGCATATACCACTACGGCAAGCCACCAATTTACATCAGGCTCAATTGAATAGTATATTTTCCCCCTACTGACCCCAATTGCATAAATATTCAACTTCTTTCAAATTTATTTTTCTTTGCTTCACAAGTTCTAAGCAAACAACGATGTAACATTAGTGTCAGCATTCAATTAGATGACTCAAAAAATAGCTATACACATATTGCACAGAAAATTTATTCTCGATATTTCCCAACAACTCGGCTTGTATTTTACTCAGTTCGTCATAATTTTCTCAGTGAGAAAACGGCACACTAAAGTACGACAACTCTCAGAACCGAAAGGACGAAAACTAAATTTTAAAAAGAAACTGAAATGGCTGAATACAAGTTGGGACGAACCTTCTTCTCCGGGAATGGGGGCTAGGGCTGCGAGAACTGATCCTGCGGGACGGAGAGGAAGAAGAAGATAAAGATTTAGAGCGGGAGCGCGAGCTAGAGCGAGAGTCCGAACCAGAGTAGGAACGAGATCGGGACCGGGAAAAAGAACGAGAGCGAGAGGATGAGCCTGAACCAGAGCCCGATCGTGCAGCCGGGCGACCTCGGCCTGGTTTCGCCATCGCCAGAAATAGACGACACAAAGTACAGTACAGAGACTGACGAAACCCTTGGATTAAACCCTACTAAGAAACACCGAGAGAGAGAATAACATTGGAGTGGTTCGGCAGAGAAGAGCAAGCCGTGTGATTTGATAGTTTTATAACCTATGGGCCAGGTTATCAGGCTAAAATGGGTCCTTTACATGGGTCGTAAGCTCTTGGGCCAACTTATTATGTCTCTAGTTCCAAGATCCAATCCGTCTTGATTTGAATAAATCAATTGAGTTAACCTTACCTTTAGCAAATTGTATCTATTTTCAACATAATTTCATCATCTCAACTCGACTCAACAATTTTTTTTTATTCCAACTGTGTTGGTCTGGTCGCATCAATCCTAATTTTTCATTGTGGTTGATCAAGAATCATATTTTTTTTGTTAAACCTTAAACTATCATAACTTTTTTAGTATTACTATGTTGTTGTTCCGAAACCAGTACAAACTATTTTGTTCCCGGTCAAGATTCAAATTCCGAGTCGCTATTACTATGAGGAAAATAAAAAGACCACAACTCCTTTCAGCCAGAGTCAAAAATATTAAACCAAAGAGAGACAATGACAATTAGGCCTGTTAATGAGAGGAGACAATATAACATGTTTCAATTCAATGAATTCTGTGCTCAAAAGAAGATTACTGTCAGATTGCCCACATCATGAAACAACTGAATGACAAGACCAGCTCAGTCTGCAGTCCTCGAGTTTACCAATGCTCATTGTACAACATTAGCATCTACTGGATTAACACATATTGCCATCCACATTAAGAAAAGGGTAGGTTCTCCAACCTCAACCGACAAGTTCTAACTCAGTGTGGCTGGTTCTACTGTATCCGAACGTCTTCTCTTGGGCTCATTTTCACCCAGTTGCAATGAAAAGTTAATATCCTCCTCAGAGTCATTTCTCAAGGCTGACAGATTCCCTGATGCCACCCTATTCAATTGGTCATCTCGATGCAGCGGAGAACTCCCATTGAAGCTGGGGATGAACTGATGTTCAACACTTGGACCCAAGTTGACCCCCTCTTCCAAATGGAATGCAGTTTCTACTGGTGATGTGTTCATATCTGGGCCACCTTCTCCATCTTCTAGAGGGATATGCTGGATTTGAAGACCCAGCGGCTCTACCTTGTCCTTTGGAAGCATTACATCCGGTGGAGAAGAATCTCCAACTGTGGAGCCTACCCCTGTTGCTGAAGCGGCTCTTTGTTCTTGCACTGCCACTACATATGCACGCAAATCAGTGGTATCTACAGACTTTATAATTGGACATAAAAAGAAAATGATAGTATGTTGGTCAATGGGTCCATTACGTCTCCTAAAATCCAAGAGTAACTATACATACATATATACACCCAGTTGCTAGCGATGTACCCATGTAAAGTCATGCATGTTCTTTCCATTTATACCCTCGCTATCACAGAGAGGTTCACTTCTTGTCATCCCCATGGCTAGAATAAGCACACGTTGGAATAATTAATTACGACAATGAAATACATTTTTCATGACTGAAAAGGTATTTTTGTATAATTTTGACTCTTAAAGAAACTCTCTCCATGCGAGCATGGGCGTAGGTTAACAGAAATACAAATTATTGGCCACTGTTTTATTCTAAGCTTCTGCTTAATCTTCTTCAAGTACATCTCCATAAAGTAGCAAAGAAGTATTGAAGTATCGGGAAGTTAGCAACAAAAAATATAGGTAGAACTGTAAACCTTTTAGTGCTTCACTTGTTGTGATGAGATCAAGTTCAAGGAGATTGAGCAGGCGACCAAGATCAACCCCACTGGTCCAGTTCTCTGGAGGTTGGCCAACTTTTAATTTAAGTCGGCCTCGATTGGCAGTTCCACCCCATATGATACCAATCGGTCTAGGCTTTTCCCCATTATAGCCCTTTAATATGATGAGACTTCCGCTGTCTCCTTCAAGGTCAAACGACTGTTGGTTCTCACCAACAACAAGGTAATCGGTCAAGAAGCATATCCCCTTCTCATCATTGTACTCAAGTGCATAAGCCAATATAGTCCCCATAGTCAGGCCGGAACTTCTTCCGACTTTTGTCACTTGCTTCCCAATAAGACTATTGATTGGAGATTGTAAGTCTATGATTTTAACGTCTCCTATTTCCCCTATGCCTTTCACAGATGTAGTTACAGTGGACATGTCAAAATCATCAGCAAAAGGGATAAATGCCCCGTCTGCTCTCACAAATGTCTCTGCACAAGCACCAAAGTTTGTTAGGTACATGTGGACAACAAACCATAATCAGAATCTCAGTAAAATGAACTTAATTTGCAAGGTGGTCAAATTTTAAAATCAAGAGAATCTGTCTCTCAATATATGTTAAAATTGCATAGAACATATAGGACGTCCAAGAAGTAAATCTGACAGAAAATGCATCGGGGCAGGTTGACACTAATAGGCCTATGAAAGGTAATCCTGATCGACATCTTTTTTTTCTCATCAGCTCAATTATCTACCTAATAGATCCTTGCGTCAGACATCAAAATTGAAGTTTGATCCAAACACAGCTATAGAATTAGGAAAAAGAATCCAACCATGGCTGAGACAGAAATACCATGCGAGACTTTTACATAGGCATTGTACTAATGTGGGTCAACAAGTAATAGAACCGAGCACATTTGATCATGCAAGCATTTTTAAAACCAAGGTTTCAGATAATGAAAACCTTTTGTAAAATTATGGTAGCACTACTATACATAATCCGTAGTCGGCTCAGATAGGAATATGCCTGTGACCCTCCCATAGGAATAGAATAGGGATTGCAGTAGAAATAAAGATAAATTTTGTGACGATATATTAGATTCTCGAGCTATCAACCATCATGTCTTTCCTCTATATTTTAGGTCTTTCCCACCAGTGAAATGAAATTAAACAGTAAATAATTTCATTTGGATCGTCATAATGCACCAGCAGGCCATTAGAATTAAGCCACATAAGCAAAATACATACATATGCGCACAGCCACACACATACACATATGTAAACATGAATTACTAATTTCTCTTCCATAAGCTTAATCGCTAAACCTCGTATAATAGTTTTTGAGTAGTGGGACCAAGCAATCATGTAGCAAATGCACCGAGGATTTTTGCCATTTTTACTTTAAGGTGTTGGATTTAAACAAACAAAACAGACATAAGTAGGGTTTAAATAAACAGTTGAGCAAATAAACAGACATAAGTAGAGTTTAGATTAACAGGGGTAAAGCTCTAATGGCCCCGTAGCTTGGTCCTATGGCGCTAGCGTCCCAGACTCAGATTTTAAGACAACCAATTTCAGTTGGAATTCTGAAAGTTCCAAACGTGTAGAAGTATCACATATTTCAGCAATCAGACTATAACAAATTACAGAGAAAACTTCGGCAGCTTGGCTAAAAGTAAAGTAATGATGACAGCATTTGTTAGCAATCATCTAACCTGGGTTTATGCCAGCGAAAATGCCATACCAAAGCTCATCTGTGATAAATGATGTAGCTCTTTCCACTGCACCAAGATACACCCCAGGTCCAAGTGTTGGTGGCAAAGGATGAAACATCTTTTGATTTGGGTAATCTAAGTTAACTGCAACATGCCGGTTTGTGAGGAAACCAACTTGTCGATTGCCTGTTTGGCTCCTCACAATCGCACCCAAGGTTCCATAGGTCTCTTGACTTGCTACCTGAAGATACGCGTTGCTGATAAGATAATGGAAAGCAAAACTTACACAATCTAAACAAAGTAGCTCAAGACAGAGAAAAAGCAATGAAAAGTGAAATCCCGAAAAAAAAAACACAGGTATTGATGACTTACTTCTCAATTAAAAAAGTAACTAGTTTAGCTGGATTCCTTGGTGCATCGACGATAAAAGACAAAATGGGGAGAAATTTTTTACAGCTATCGACACAAATTCTAGAATGCCCTCAAGAGTTTCTCAGGGTACACCAAATTCAACTATACTAACCCAAGTAAAGGTAGGAATGTTGAACAAAAAGTTGTTTCCAACGATATAATAGCACACATACAGAACCGGAAGTACGACTGGCAAGTATGGACATGTATATACGTATTCTTATATTCGTTTGTAGGCATAGAATTAGGTATATCCAATTGTCAAAATATATTTATGATGACCTCTCTCCCTTCTGGATCCTACTTCTTTAATAAAACCTTACTCCATTTTTCCCTCTTTTCTTATGGTTGAACTTTTTGACAAACTTTGCATGTATACTTGATCAGAATGTTACTGAATTTTTTTCCATTGAGAGTATCCTTGTTTCTTAACCATAGGCATCCGCACCAAATTTTGACATTTTGAAGCTAATCTTATGAATGGCAAAAAGGAGTCAATGCGAAAATTCTCACAAGTTCCTGATTCAAGCATGAAGTTAGAGGTCATCGCAACTGTTTCCTAAAATGCCGACACTACTTTTTTTTATGCCGAGACTAATTTAAAGATATATGACTCCCTAGAAATAAAAACAAAAAACTCAGTCAGGGCTGGAGTTTGTTGGGCAACAATTAAAACTTGATGCAGCACATATCACCAGCAGTTCAACTATATGGTGACTTCTCAGATCAAGAGATGAAAACAAGCACATCCCCTGAAAAAAGCGAAAAATATAAGATCCCAAGAAAATTCAACAATACCTGAGATCCCGAACCAATACATGGGTCAGTCCCACGTAGGTCGTCAACAATCTCTGTATACAATTGCTCCTTGGGTGTTGGCTCGGGTGCACCAAAATATGAAAATTCCACCACATCCACATCACACCATACACCACCTGGTCCCTGGAACGTAAAAACCATTTCAAATTCCAAGCAGAACACAAGAAGAATCATATGGATAAAGCATTCGGGGTACCCCCTCTAGAGAGGGGGGGGAAAACAAAAAATGAGAAAATGAAGCAAGCCTCTAGCATTTTAATGTTTATTATCCACCAGTACATAGGTTCCCAACAAAGAAAATGATAAAGAAAAAATTAGGACATGAGGAGAAATGAACATCCTTTCCTAACCTCCAGAGTAGTGGGCAGACACTGGATGGGACTGAGCCACTGCTTGTGAACTTTCCTCGAAACAAACACTAGAATAGCTGGTATGTCTGTCAAAACACCACGCCGAATACGAAACCCAATAGCCGTGCCAAGACTGTAACAACGCAAGATCTTGCTACGAAAGGCACGTATGGTCATGAGCTCAAGCAAGGTGGTTGCTTGCTGACCTTTTGGCAACTGACCTAGAGTTTCAGGTAAAACACCCTTTTGTAGGTTAACAAAATAGTTTGCCCTTTCTTCAGCAGCATCATTCAATCGGCTGGATGTAGGCCATGAGAAGTAAGCAGCATTACTCTCTGAGTGCTGTCCAGCAGATGCATAAGGCTGAAGTGGTGTCGGTGGACTTAATGAAGGCAGATTAGAATGACTACAACAGTTTTTTTCAAGATCCAAAGCCGATTCCTCTGATGGCGCTGAACTAGAGCAAAATACTCTTGTATTCCACTTTCGCCGGTCCATCTTTCAGTTTACTAAGGATATAGTAATGTCAAACATAATAATCCAGGAGTCCAAAAACAAACAGACTATCTACAAAGCACACATTGATAATTATTATACAACTATTCACCTTCATTCTGTCCTAATCTCCTCTATCTGCTTTTGGAAAATTAACCATCACATTAGAAAAAGGAAAACTCATACATATAACCCTATTTGTGAAATAGATGAACTCTGCCTTAAAGTGCTCCTATATTTAAGATATAACACAAAGGTCTGGAATTAAGTTACATAGAGAATTAGCGTGAAAAATTTGAAGAATGTCAACCTATTAGAAAAAATAAAATCAAAAAACAACAGAAAAGGAAAGATGAACAGTGTGACAAACAGCTACCATATCTGTATCACTTGAATTTAAACCAAAAGCGCATGAAAAGCAAAGAAATTTAGCGTTATCTTCGATTGCTAAGCATTCAAGGGTACAATTATCATGTTAATGACTAGTTAAGAGGACAGGCGAAACAAGTAGAGTAATTTTCATCAGATAGTTTAAGGTAAACTTCAGCGTGGGTACCGAAAAGAAACATAAGAATATAGCACAATCTTCAGAAAACATGACTAATGATTGCACATACAGAACAGCCCAAGACAGAAAAAAAGAAAAATCAAAACAAGGAAAACAAAGAACAGCCCAGTCTGCACAGTAATCAAAATCATATTTTTGAACAAACCCTGAAACAAAAATCGAAAAGTCATCTAATTTTTAGATTTCTCAAGTAATAAGACCAGAAGTAGCCATGCACATAGAGTATGAGGAAATCAGAAGAGATAACTCACTGATCAACAATGGCAAAAGAATACCCTCCTTTGAAGCGTTTTAATGCCCCAACGGAACTTATCTCATATCCCTAATCTATCGAAATTCAGCTTGAAATGTTGCAGAGATTGCCGACCGACGCCGTAAAAAAAGACCCAATACTCTCCGTAAATGAGGAAAGAGGCTTTTCACTTTTCAGTGTCACGCAGAGAGAGAGAGAGAGAGAGAGTGAGTTAGTGGGGGAGTTACTGTGCTGAGTGTGGGCTCAGGGTTGTAACGATGAGGTCTCAATGTTGGACGTACTGATTTGTCGTATTTGACCTCAAATTTGATACTGGATTTTGTCCCATCTGTTAAACTAAAGTACAAACTAGTAGAAGAGCATTATATTGTTTGTGGGACATTTACGAAAATTATTTGAATTTCGCTTTTGAAGATGGTTGACCATGTTGTCAAGGGGATGTTTGGTAATAACAACTTTAATTCTTAAAGTATAGTTATTTTATTAATTTAATGTTTATTGTATTAATTTTATCAATTTAGTTCTTAAAATTTTAATTTATAATACTTTTATTTTTAATTAGACAATTCATTAAATTTTTTAACGAAAGTGATCACGTGTCATGCTTTTAAATGGTATCAAATGACCAGCACGTGATTATTTCTTCAAATTTTAACGATATGTTCGTATATAGACTATTTAAATATAAATTGAATACTCTAATAATCAAATTAATAAAATTAATATTTTAAATACTAAACTGACAAAATATACATTATTTAAGAAATAAAAAATACTATTAACTCTAAGCTTGATCTTATAACACCATTCAACATTCCTTAATAACAAAATAGAGAGATACCTATCCAAAAACAAAATAGAGGGTTTTCAAATTTTAGCCTTAAACCAAGAAACAAATTCTTTGTATCCCGACAAAGATGATCGTGTGTCTTATTCCTGTTTTTTCACATATACATACATATAAATATATATCTATGAAAATATATATATATATATATATATTGGTGGGACTCTAAGTAACTCTACGGTCCCCAGGTTGATACGTGGAATAATGAAGTCGTTGAGATATCTAAAAGGTGCCGAGGACGTATGCCGAGGTATGGTGACACGGAACAGTCGAGTACGACAGCTAGCATCGTATTTAATGCGATGTGACCCTCATTCATGGCAAATGAGTGATAGTGACAAGACAAATAAATGTGCGCCTGCAAGCACCTGCCCTCTGGGAGTCTAAGTCTACTGTCATGATGACTAAGTATTAATGGTTGATGCGCCGAGACAACGCGATCGGCTCTCCCGAAGAACTGTTATCCCTGAGTATTCAATGCTCAGTTGATGTCGGAGGCCGATCTAGGGGATTTGGGTACTTGGGGAGTGGCATAAATACTCGGCATTTGGCCGAGCATTTACCCCATTTTCCCTAGCATTCAATAGAAGGAGACGTGAGTAGAAAACACTCATTACACGAAGAATGGTGTGTCAAATGTAAGATGTCCAGATGAGACTAGAGATCTTTGGCAATCATTGTTAATTCAAGTATAAATACTCCTTAGAAAAATGGACAAAAGTACGCAAACTTGAATCAGAAAAATAGTCCATTGAGCAAAACCATTCGACCTTATACTGACTTAAGCTTCGAAGGGGATTAGTCGGGCGCTCGCCTGACCCCCTTTTTTCTAATCCTGTTGTTTCAGGTTCCCCAACTGGGAGATCGTTGTTTCATACTATTGTAGGAATTATCTCGTGCATATATATAATGATAAAATATATATTTTTATCTTTTTAATTTCTCATCATACTTGATGGAGTGTATAAGTGAGAGGCATGAAGTGAAAGAGCTTAATGAACTTTTAAGAGTGATGGATGAGGTGTGTGCTTGCGAATGGAGTATAACAGTCGGCAAACACCCAAGAAAACAAGTAGTTCGAGCCAGACTAGTCCACTATAAAGATTTTTGTTCCTCGTATTACTTAGGAAAGAAAAAGGCTTCACCAAGAGAATGTAATTATATACCCTTTTGACAGAACAAAGGTCTGCCTATTTATACGGTAGAATACTGTAATTATCAAGTAATGATGATATAATCTTCTAACTTGTAAGAATATTTGCTGTTAAAAATTCATTTCCCCAAGTATGTCATACTATTCTAGAAGTTTTAATGTAACATTCTAAAAATAATGACTTCTTACCCAATGTAAGATTTAGTAGTATAACGTGGAATTCATTTTTTGTCCTTTTTCTACCTTTCGTTAAACTATTTCAATATCTAGTGGTGTGCATGGACTAGACTTTGAGTAGGAGTAAGCTACCCGCAACATAACCAACACTCACTAGATGTCTTGTTGAGCGGGCCTTTTTATATTTTAAATTAAAAGTAGAGTCAAAATTAACAAAAAGTAAATAATAAATAATTTTATTTAAGTGAAATTATTTAGTATTTAAGTAAATAATAAATAATGAATAATACCTTGGTATTTAAGTAAATAACTTTTGTTGAGAAAGAGAAATATGTCATCCAATCTTCAATGGTCAATTTTTTTTGCAAATAAAGTGGGTGGACGGGAGCGGGCTGGGCTACGCCAGTTATTAAGTCAAGATTTAATGGGTTTGTGCGGTTTGGCTAATGGGTTGAGTTTCACGATGGTTAATGGGCTTGGGACCAGGCCAAACCCTCTCTTAAAAAATATTTAGCTTGGTATCGGACGGGTTAACTACCAGCCCAATTAGGTTTCGGGTCCAATTTTTCGGACAAGGTAACAAGTTCCGTGAGCCAACTTGAACCATGAATATCCCTATCAATATTTGCCAAGCTATTTTAGTGACTATTGAGCTGACTCATGTCTTGACTGACCGAAATCCTTATTTTTCAGGTCAGCCCGACTTCATCATTTACTCGTTTGCACAACATATTTACGTTTGGTATCATCACAACGTACTAAACACAAAAAAATCTATTCATCTTATTTTTCATTTCTTCTACCAAATACTAAGGAGAGAGAAATAATCCCTCCCTTGAGGTATCACTCTCATTGTCCATCCACCTACCAAACACAGAGGGTTTTAAAAATCCTCCTAAATTGCCTAAATATAAAAGAGTGTGTCAGCAATGTTTGAATTGTTTGGATTAGGTTTGCAAAAAAATAGCTGCAATTTGTTTCAAGATTTTGGCATTGCTTGTCTTCACAGCAAGTGGTTACCTCGAAAACTGATGTAACACGTATAGTAAAAAATTACATTGCAGGTTATATTTTGATTCTCTCAGCTTTTGAAGATGCAGTCACAAATCTAACAAGAATCAATCAGCCTTCTCAGTAGCTTTTTACAACAACTAGCTAGAAAAAAAAAATCGAGTAGAATCAGAGCAAATAAAGGTCAGCCAATTCCTCCAAAGAATCAGAAGTGAGATTGGGATCGGCATTATCAAGCATCCACAGGAAGTGGTCAAACAGTACTACCTCACACTTCACTGATAGGTCTCCGCCTGACTTTTGCTTGGATTTTTCAATAAGAGCATTCAATAAAGGATGGTTCAAGTACTTGGAACTAATCGCGTACTGCTTTCTTGAGCTCCCAACCAATATTGTTTCGCAACGCTCACCCTCTTGCATGGAAGAACCACTCCATACTTCTTCTTCTTCAGTGCAATTGGACCTTAGGCTACTGTATGATGGTGTCCTACTCCTACCCAGTTGCCTTGACAATGTCTTGCACTTCCTTAGTATCAAATTGATCTTCTTCATATCCTAGTTTGTCTGTGTGTGTACTGTGTGCACTTGAGAGGGTGAGTTGTGTGTGAGACTGATGTGAGGGATAGAGAGGGGGAGATGAGAGAGAGAGAAGCTTAGAAGGAATGCAGAAAGGAGGGTGACGTAGAAGCCTTGATATACACTCACATTCAGATAGTGTAAATGGAGCTGAGAGGTGGGTGCAAGGTCATTGTTTTCCGGTGCCTGGAGTGTGTGACCCCACTTGCAACCGATCATTAATTTCAAAATGACTTGAACATGCTAACTTCTTCTATGGGCACGCACAAACAGATCATACAATCTCTATTCATGTATCGACGTTAATAATATACAGATACATAGTCCCATTTTACGTACTATTGAATTAAAATGATTACGAGTGCAATGAACATTGTAGTAGGACTGGACTTTTGTATCAAATCGGTATCAGCCATGAAATGTTTGCCAAGAAGGGAGCGGGTGACCCACGGGGAATGGTTATGGAAGCTTGACTGACTAACTGCCTCGCCTATTATTGGTAAACTACAAAAGCTGCGCATGTGCAAATTTGTCACAGTGCTAAACCTCTCCGCATGGCCTTTTTTTTTCTTTCTTTTTTTCGGTATTATGGTTGGAGTTGTCCTGGTTGAGTGCACCGACTAAATAATCTCTCCTTTGGGAGTGTAAAGTTATGGCACCCACACAACTAGGTAGGATCTCTATAGATTAGCCTAACCACAGTCCAGACAAACAACCACCCATCTAAAGTTCATCTACAATTTTCTCCCTCTCTCCCTTTTTAATTACTTCCTTGATAAAACCAGGATCAAATAGACAAACTATAATTTAAGGTTATGATGAACTTGTGTCGATTGGTCTCTACTCCTGAGAGCTCTCTTGATAGAAGTCAAGTGTTCAAATATGGGTATGGATCAAAGGAGATTAGAGGTTCTTACAAGGTTAACGATTTTTTTGGGAGGGGAGAGTAGTGTTTTTTATCAGTAATGCTACACTGATCAAATTTTAGAACCAAATTAAGAACCTAAATGACATGACAACTGACTTGAACTTCTTTATTTTATGTTATGTCATTTGGACCCCAATAAAGACTAAATAATATGATGTCATGTCATTTAGATTATTGATTTGGTTCCAAAATTTGATCAACATAACATTATTGGTTTTTTATTGATTATCAACGCACTGTTAATATTAATACCGTTCGATTATAATTGTAGAGTGGCCACAAAGGAATTCCGATGACATTTACTATTTTTTTTTTGTTACAAAATATTTAAACTTGCGTCGACTACTTCCTTAAACTCAACGGCTTGACATTCACTATTCCATCTCGTGTGCCTGACCACCCAATTGAATGAAAGTGGTACAGCTTGTTGAAGATGATGACCGCATAATTTGCATGACTAAATGGTGGTTGGCAAGGTTTTGTGTGCTTCCATCTAATCCGCTTAAACATGTACTTAAGAAGTGCAACTTCTCCGGCCTTCGCATAGGTCGTTGGACCCTGCCCTTCTCCACACTCGTACGTACCCTTGGTAATCCAGTAGTCCATGTATACTCCACATATATATAAAAGCCAGGTCAATGGAGGAGACTCCACAATAGTACGATAGGCTATACAACTCCAATGGACACCATTGAATACCTGGGATTTCTGCTACTAATAATTTTCTTCTTCCTTTCTCTCTGCTTTTGGATCATTAGAAATCTTACAAGGCCTAAAAGCTCAATTCTTCCTACCAATTGGCCTTTCGTTGGTATGATGCCGGGGCTTCTTCAAAATGTTCATCATGTCCATGACTATGTCACTGAGTTTCTTAAACAAAGTGGGCAAACATTTGTTTTCAAAGGCCCTTGGTTTGCTAATGTGAACATGGTAGTCACTTGTGAGCCTGCTAACGTCCACCACATCTTGAGCAGACATTTTCCAAATTACCCAAAGGGCAGTGAATTCAACAAAATATTCGATATTTTGGGAGATGGCATTTTCAATTCGGAATCTGAATTGTGGGAAACCCACAGGAGAACTTCTACATCATTAATCCACAATAAACAGTTCCTAAACTTCTTAGAGAGAACTACCCGGCGCAAAGTGGAAGATGCATTAATCCCATTTTTGAATCGCGTTGCGGAGCGAGGAACAGAGATAGATTTGCAAGAGTTGTTCCATAGATTGACCTTTGACAGTACCTGCACATTTGTGTTAGGCCATGACCTAGATTCTCTTTCTATCGACTCACCGAATATTCCGTGTGAGAAGGCGTTTGGTGACGTTGAAACGGCACTTTTTTTCAGGCACATATTGCCAGAAAGGTATTGGAAACTGCAGAGGTGGCTTCAAATTGGCACAGAGAAGAAGATGAGTAAAGCTTGGGAAACACTTGATCAATTTTTAGGTCAGTGCATTGCCCTCAAGCGCAAAGAACTAAGAACAAGCATGACCCAGATGGTGGAACAACAACAAAATGAAGGTTTTGACTTATTAACAGCATATATGAAGGCGTACCAAGTAGAAAATGGTGGTGTTACAACAAGCACTACTTCTGACGACAAGTTTCTGAGGGACACCTTATTGAGTCTAGTTTTTGCAAGCAGGGACACCACAAGTTCAGCTCTCACTTGGTTTTTCTGGCTCATTGCGACACACCCACTTGCAGAAACCAACATTCGAGAAGAGATCAAAACAAAGCTACTTTCGAAAGGGAAAAGCGCTGAAAAGCCAAGTGTAGTTTTCACCATGGAAGAATTGAGTAAACTGGTTTATCTCCATGGAGCTCTGTGCGAGTCATTACGTCTATTTCCACCTGTGCCTTTACAGCACAAATCTTCATTGAAACCGGACATCTTTCCTAGTGGTCATAGCATTGATGGAAATACAAAGATTGTGTTATCTTTTTATTCAATGGGGAGGATGGAATCGATATGGGGCAAAGACTGCATGGAGTTCAAGCCTGAAAGATGGATTACAGATCGAGGAGGAATTAAACATGAGCCATCGTTTAAGTTCGTGGCGTTTGGTGCAGGACCTAGGAGTTGTTTAGGAAAGAACATGTCTTTCCTTCAAATGAAAATAGTTGCGGCCACCATCATATTCAATTATCATGTTCAACTTGCTCAACCTCATCATCCTGTTTCTCCAAGCAATTCTGTCATACTTCATATGAAAGATGGTTTAAAAGTCAAGGTCACCAAGCTTACTTGATGAAGCCTGAAGGTCACCTAATGAGCTGCTTGAGTTTCATTCATGGTGGATCCTTTATTTTTATTTCCTTTTTTTTTTCTTCTTATGAGAATCTAATGGAGAAAGTAAACTTTGCTAATTCTCATTTCGTTGTATATTTTCCATTTTTACTTGCAACAGTCTCAAAGTGAAACTCATTTCCTGCCATGACCAATAGCAGGTGAAATCGAAGAAAATCCAATAACTTACTACAGCTGCTCGATAATTCTCATGGCACCCTCAGAAAGTTCTTCAAAAACCCTCATTTCATAGCTAACTCCAGTTGGAATAACAGCTCTGGATTCGCCTCCATCAACCTCCGAACGACAGTTGAAATTAAATCCACGAGCTTTGTACACCGAGTGATCAGCCATATCGTAATCACCTCTCTGTATCTCTTGCTTGGTCCCAAGTAGGAGAATCTTAGCCTCTAAAAACCATTGGCCACAGTCCTGAAACGCTGTCTTTGAAACGTTGATTTTCATGTCTGGCTAAATCTGACATGTTATGGATCAAGTTGCTAGCATGGTTGCATAGACAGCTAACAGTAATGGAGGCGATGTCGACTTTGTTAGCATTTTGGCTACGTTGGTTGGAGTTGAGGCACTCTATGCATGTTTCAGGCATAGCTGCATTGTGGCACATTATTTGTATTGATCTAATAATTCTTATGAAATTATTTCTTTATGTCAACAAATTAAGTCATATTTTTAAATTCAAATAATATTACTCAAATGCTAATACGTCAGAAACAAGAAGATCGGGAGCCTAGCAGGCCACCAAGATTGTGTTTCTCCTCATTTACATTTTTTTTTAACGGTCATTAATATTTGATTAATTTACATGCACCTCGATTAATCTCCACTACGATTCAATCAAAAACAGATCATGTAAAAACTAAATAGTGTTACTCCACGAGGTTGATTGTCGATTTTCGGATCTGAAGCAATGGCAGAGCTACTAGTTGACTAGGGGGCACGGGCTCACCCTGATTCTTTTTTTTAAATTATTATCTATATGTTTTTAAAATTTTTTGTTATATTTTATGGTATTCACAGTATATATTTCACATCCGATCTTCAAATTTTTTATTCTATCAAGCAGTATAGAAAAATATTTAATTAACTATGAATTTTTTGACATACTTTATACTTGACGGACACGCTAAGATAAATTTTGTATATGTCAAATTTATTTTGTTAAGTTAACAAAACTGTGAGAATTAAGTTATATAATCAAAAAAACTAGTTAATTATTTATATAGGAAAATATATTCTTTATAGTATAGATAATAAAATTATCATATAATGTTTTTAAAGTATGAAAACTCATCGAAATTTATTGTAAATAAGTATAATTAGGCTCTTTTTATTAATCTTTTTTGTATATTTTACGTATATTGATGTTGAACTGTTTTGTATCTAATAAATGTTTGAGTATCAAATATAATATAATAAATTTAAATATATTATGTTACTTTTATAAAAAAAATATTAAACTTATAATTAAGGTGTTGACCTGAACAAAACTTTTCGCTCCGTCACCAACACATGCAATCGAGGATAGCGATTATTAAAGGAAGAATAATGCTAAATAGACTTAAAAAATAAACTTAAAACTTAGACTTGATAATCTCAACCATTGAGTAAGTAATGAATTCCAATAATAAATTAATGAAATACAATGAAGAACGTAATTTTCTCTCTCTCTCTCTCTCTCTTTTTTTTTGTATCTTATTCGAGCTATACTTGAGGAGACTTGGGGATACCTATTAGTAAAGGTAAGTCTAACGAAGACACAAAGATATTAGTTCAAAGCACACAGAATTAGATCAATTGCTACCTTGGATTGGTGGCAAAAAATTAACCCACTTTCTGAGCGTGGATATCATCAGGTTTTTAATCTTACCAACTAAATCTTTATAATCAAATTTTTTTCTTGATATTTTCAATTAAAAAGATTAGACCACCGATAAGCTTACAACTATTAAAAAAGTACACAAAATACACTAACAAAGATCAAACAATAATTACATAATAACAAATATGTTAGCCTGGTAGCAAAGATTAGTGGAAAGAGATTTGTGTCAAGTTTCTAATCTTCTAACGACAAACTAATCATCTTTTATTTATAAGCTCAAGAAGTCATATTTACGGGTTGAGTTTTGCTTTTTCAAGAAGTAGCTGTTGCGTAATAATTGAAAAAATTTGGAAAAAAAATCAATATTTGCATTGAATCTTTAATGGGAGTCAATAACATTTGATGATGTACAAATTGATTTTATACACTATCGATCAGGTGATTGGTAATTAATGTAATTGATGATACCTCAAACAAGCTCTAGCTGCGAACTCAAAAAATGAGGTCAGGTTAGGAAAGACACAGAGAACTCAGAGAACCAGAGGTAGAGCTCCCCTTGGGAAGATCGTAGCAGAACCGAACAAGAAACAACTGGATGACTGCGAAAATTGAGCTCAATGCATGAAACTCTCAACCAACCAAGATTCGCTCCTAAAATCAAGGAGGATCCCATGAATAATTGACAAAGATCTCGGCTAAAATCCCACAGAATAGGGAGTAGCCTTATAAATACTATGTAACGCCTCATCGAGGGGTGAGACCCTAGAAAAACCCTAATTATATCATACATTGTACGGTAATACATTCGAGTAATCAATAGAGAAAAAAATGAGCAAGAGCCACCATTAGAGGGTGAATTAGTCAAGCTCCAGAGCCGGTGAACCACTATATTCCTACTGTGCAAATTCCCCTACCCCTTAAGAAACACTTCATCACTGTCATTATGAAGTCGACAGCCTAGATTTACCTTCGATCCCAAGCACTTTGTTCACCCACGTTAGTCTGCACCATCAGTTTGGCGCCATCTGTGGGAACGACTGTTTCTGTTATAAATAAGTTGATCTCTCAGTAACTGATGGTATCAACCTGAAACATGAGCGAAAGCCAAACAAACCCACCTCGGATGCAGGATCAACAGGGAGCCACCAATGAAAGACAGCCCGAGAACGTCCTAGAGACTGATCCTCCCATGGGGAATCCCCCTACGAATAACGAGATGGAGGCCCTTCATCTCATCCATTAATGCTTGTTAAAGCAAAACGAAAAGCTCTTGAAGCTCTTACAGCGCCCACAAGAGGCACGTCCGACCCAAGAAGGTCAGAACAGTTCCCGTCACAAGGATCAACAACACCTTGATCCACTCAAAGAAGACAACGAAGGAGGGGAGAACATCCAGACCTTGGGGCAGGTTCCCCAACTACCCCCTAAGAAAGGCCACAATGAAGAAGTACAAAGTCAAAAATTATGAAGGTGAAAAGAATGATGTTTTCCCTTATCAGCAGGAGAGAAGGGAACAATATTGGGAGCAGTCAGAAGTAAAGCTCCAGTTACAATGGACGCCTTGGTGCAATAGACTGAATCTCCATTAACGGTTGGGGTGTTGCATTTTCTCCTCCCACCAAAGTTCAGGATGCCACAGATAGAGTCATTTGATGGAACCAGGGATCCATGGACTACCTCAATACTTATAAGAACCAGATGGAGTTGCACGGGTATCAGAACCCCGTACGTTGTCGAGCCTTTGCCATCACTTTGAAGGGTTCAGCCTTGGTCTGGTTTAACATGCTCCCCCCGGTCTCAATCTTTTCCTTCAAAGAACTTTTCATTTCCTTCGTATCCCACTTCATAGGGGCTCAAACCTATAGAAAGCTGAGCTATCACCTTTTGAATGTGAAATAGGGACCTCAAGAAAACCTTAGGTCTTATGTCCAAAGATTTAATTCGGAGTTGTTAAAGGTGGATGTCCCAGACAAAATTTTTGTCATCACTGCCTTCATAACTGGTCTAGGGGTGCAATCTAAAGATTTGATGTTTTCCATATCAAAAAATTCTCAAGCAAGCACGACTGAGGTGCTTGTCAAAGTAGAGAAATATATAAATGGCGAAGAAGCTTTCTTTCTAAGGTAGGGAGCTCTTCCGCATATAGAGATAAGAGAAAGGAAGAGAAAAAGAGGAATCGAAGTCCTAGGAGAAAGAGGGAAATAAACAGATCTCCAAAGAGAGATAGATCTCCTAGAAGAGATAAAGAACGATCCCTAAAAAGAAGGGGGAATGTTAGGGGAAGCTTAGGACCCCCGCAACCTGAGCTACAGCTGAGGTATGCACCTCAGCAATATACCCCTCTCACTACAATCGTGTCTCATATCCTATACGAGGTGCAAAACGAGAAATTCCTAAGGTGGCCTCCATAAATGAAGGTAGATCTACCTAAAAGAGACCCTACAAAGTATTGCGAGTATCATAGGGATCATGGTCATCACATCGACGATTGCATTCAGCTAAAGAAGAAGATCGAGTTCTTGATCCAGAGGGGGCAGTTACAACGATTTGTCGCCCATAACAACCAGAACAGAGCTCCACCACCACCGACACCTCAGCAACAAGCCCCTGCACAGCGCCAGCAACCCTTAGGGGAGATCAGAGTGATATGTGGAGGATTTGCTAGCGGTGGAGAATCTAGTGCAGCCAGGAAAGCACACCTGCGCAAAATCAGAGCTGACAAAGCGCAGAAAGTGCACACCGTGTCCAAAATACCTCGGCTGAGCACAACCATCACTTTTTTGGATTCAGACTTGGAAGGCTGCCCATATCCCCATGATGATCCGTTGGTGGTAAGGGTCATTGTGGCTAACTAAACGGTTCATCGAGTTGTAATTGACAATAGGAGCTCGACCGACATCATTTTCGTCTCTGTTTTTGACAAAATGGGCATAGGTAGGGAGAAGCTTGATTCAGTAAATGCTCACTTAATGAGATTCTCAGGGGAGAGGGTGCTACCCCTGGGATCCATCCAACTTGTGCTCACTATGGGGGACCCTCCTTGCCAAGCCACCACCATTGTGAAATTCCTGGTGGTTGACGCCCCTTCTGCGTACAATATACTACTTGGGAGACCATCCCTCAATGCAATAAAGGCTATCCCCTCAGCATATCACTTGGTCATAAAATTCCCTACAGAAAATGGAGTTGAAATAGTCTGAGGAGACCAGCGAATAGTGAGGGAGTGCTACATGGTCTCGGTGAAGTAGAAAGAGGTTGAAAATATCCAGCTAGATGAGTTTGACACGAGGGATGAGCTGGACACTAGGCCTGCCGTCAGAAGAGCTAGAGCCAATCCAGCTCGATGAAGAGCCTAAACATATTATTTACATGAGATCTAAGTTGAGCAGAGAAATGAAAGACCTACTCACCTAGTTCCTGAGGAAGAACATGGGGGAGTTCACTTGGAAGCAAGAGGACATGGAAGGCATTGACCCCTCAGTCATCACACACAAGCTAAGCGTGAATCCCATTTGCAAACCTGTTAAATAGAAGCGGATAAATTTTGCTCCAGAACGCCAGAAGGCAATTAACGAGGAGGTCAGTAAACTCTTCCACGCCAAAGCCATCAAAGAGGTGGACTACCCTACCTGGTTGGCGAATGTGGTGCTGGTTAAGACGACCAATGAAAAATGGCGACTCTGTATTGACTTCACTAATCTCAATCGAGCATGCCCCCCAATGACAGCTTTCCCTCACCTCGAATCGACTTGATTGTGGATGTCACT